GTTAGTTAATTGTGCCAGCCTGGCCGATAATCACAAGTGGGTCTGGTTGAAAGGCGGAGGGATAAATGGGTGGTGAAGCCTCGCCTTTCTAGTTCTCGGGTCTCTTGTTTTGTGATGGTTGCATCGGGTGCAGCTGCCTTAGCAGTTCCCTGCTTCAGCTTGCAAGATGGATTTCCTACAAGACATCCCCAAGGAGAAGCCACATGGATCTATCCCGATGCAGTCCTGGGTGCTGGAGCAGCCATGTGGAGACCCCTGCCAGTGCTGAGATGCTTACACGTTCACTGACTCAGCTTTCCTCCTGCAGTCGGCATCATTGCCTCTGTTTTGTGAGGTGAAGGACTTTGTGGACTGGTGTTGGGTATGGGTTAATGTTGGACTTGTGGACTTGGGCAGCATTGGGTTGGGATGTTTTCGTGATGCACATTTTCTTTGCATAAAACTCTCTTATACGTGAGTTGCTGTGGATTTGTTTCTCCAAAGTACCTAGACTAATACAGACTGTGAATTCTGATTCCCACTGTCACGCTTCACGATGGCGTCCCTGGTCAAGGCTGTCTCCCAACTAGAACAGAACCCCCCAGCAGGCTGGACCGCGTTGGTGTGTTCTACTCACTCGGACTCCACAATCCTGAGCAAAGTGGGCACCCAGGAAACAAGAGTGTGTGAACGGAGGCTGGCAAAGCACTCAGGCTCAGTCATACACAAGAGCCCATCCTGAAGGGGCAGGGGCAGGAAGCGCTGGGAATGGATTGGACACCCAAGCCAAGGGCAGCCGCGTTCCTCGCGCTTCTTCCACAGAGCACCTACTGAGGGAGGGCCTTCAAGGCGCCTCGCACTGTCTTGGGCACTGGCAACAGAGCACTAAACAAAAAGCAAGGTCTTTCACGACTGGAAGGATAAACACCAACTTGGGAGTTTCCCAAGGGAAAGCTAAACAACGGACTAGATGATTGGCAGTATAGACATATGTGGTTGGCAGTATAGACGTGTGGTTGGCAGTATAGATGTGTGTGGTTGGCAGTATAGACGTGGGTGTAAAGAAGGGGGAAGTTCATAAGAGGAAAAAGAGACGGAGGGGGGAGGGTTGATGAGTGGTTTGAACTGTTGAGTGTAGAGCTGATGGTCTGAAATGTAAATTACCCGTAATCCAATTGGAAAAAACAAGTGAGATGGCCAGACTTTGCCTCCCATAATTCAGACAGTTTATCACGGGGGAACAGCTGGGTAAGTCAAGGGTTCCTTGCTAAAGAAGACACACAATGAGACGGACCGACGTGGTGGACTGGCAAGGGACTGACGGGGCAGTGTTCCATTCTGTTGCACGTCGGGGGGGCTATGAGTTGGAACCGACGTGGGGGCACCTAACATCCAGCCATGTGTTTATGCTGCTCATTTACATCTACCTTTGTGTCTGCAGCTACTAAAAGGAAAGGGGACAAAGACTAGGTCTCATAAAGCTTATACTCTAGAGGGGCAAAATAAAGGCATATGATTTAGCTAAGTACATGTCAGGCTGTGGTCTGTATTGATGAGAAAAGGAAGCCGGATGGAGGGTCCCTGGGGAGGGTCCCTTGGTGGGGGGTGGGGGTGGGGTGGGTGGCAGTGACTGCTCTTGGTAGAAGCGTTCAGGAGTACACCGGAGCAGAGGCCTGGGAGAAGTGGTGGGAGTTAGCGGTGAGCCCTCGGGGGTGTGGGACAAGGGCACCCCAGGCAGAGGGGACAGCCAATGCAAAGGCCCTGAGGCAGGAGCAGGGTCAGCCTGTTGGGGAACAGCAAGGAGGCTGACGTGGTTAGCACAGAAAGCGTGGGGAGGAGGGTGGAGAAGAGGAAACCAGGAAAGGAGCAGAGGGCTAGAGGCCACGGAAAGCAAGACCACTAGAGAAGGGGCAAGAGAGAATCGGGCTTGCATTTTAAAGGGTGTTGCTGTGTTAGACCAGAGTGAAAGAGTGAGAATAAGGATCACCCAGTCCCCAGAGGAAGGGGCTCATCAGGCCAGGTGGAAGCGATGGAGAGGTGAGACGAAGTTTGAACTTGGCGGTCCTTTGAAGGTTACGATAGGAGAATTGGATGTGAATGGTGAGAAAGACAGAAGCCCAGTTGGCCACGCTGCCTCCGAAGCTGTCAGCCTGAGCCACGTGAAGACCGGAATTCCTGTCCACTGAGAGGAGGAAGGCTTTGGAGGGCAAGCTCTGGGGCTGGACAATCTGAGGCTGAGCCCAGCGGGGCGCGTTCAATAAGAGGCCCAGTCTCAAGACAATGCTTTAGGAATCATCGGGTGTCCATGGCATTTTCCAGCATGAGACAAAATGAGAGCACTAAGGGGTGGACGTAGGAAGCGTGGACAGGTCAGAGGACTGAGGCCAGGGATGCCCGGGTGAGGGGTGGGGCAGGAGGGACCAACAGACGAGATACAGCCAGGGAGGTAAGAGCGATAGTGAGTCAAGACGGAGTCAATTGCCCGTGCTGCTCAGACAGTCTGAGCTGGGACCCTACTCGCCCGCTGAGTGGCCTCCATAACAGGCTGGCGGCAGTCCTTGCCCCACCGGCTTGTTTGTGGGATTAGTACGCTTGGCTTGGTGCCTGCCACACAGTGAGTGCTAAAGACTATGCGCTGCAGCTGTGAGCACCTGGGAGAATCCTGACCAGGTGCGGAACCAAGGGCTCAGGGTCAGTCCCGGCAGCCAATTCATTCGAAGGAAAGAAAGCTATGTGTCAGGCACTGTTGGAACAAGAACCCGAGCTCCTCCCACCCCCAACCTCCCCATAACTAATTTCTCCTGGCTCACGAAGTGTGCGTGTGCAGGATGGCTTCAGGGGGGTCAGTTGACAGCCCATCAAACAGCATTGGCCACGGAGGATGAGCACGTCCCCGACCTCTCCGGTCCTTACCCAGTCCTGCTGGTTAGGGCATGAGGGAGGTCTAAGGCTGACGATGCTGGGTCTTTCACACCCTCTAGCACTTAGCAAGGGGTAAGCAGACCTTGAACTTAGAGATGTCAACTCGCTTCTGGGGCTTCTTCGCAGAACTGGTGTTTGCCATCGCCTCCTATTAATAGCAAGGAATCCTGATTTTCCTTTTCCAGAAGAGCTGTGAAGCATTCTAACCAGTGTAGGGAAGGGACAAGAGAAGGGAGGCAGTGGTTTAAAGAAAACCCAGTAATGAGTTCAAGCGGCTTAAGGGGCATGAAGGAGGGTAAGGCAGATTCTGAGCCAGGTACCGAATGTCTGACGTTTGGGGGACACTCCTTTAAAAGCACCCTGGGTTGGCGTCTGAGGACCCAGGGCAGCCAAAAGCACGACTGAAGAACCAGGTGGGGGTCACAGCCACCTCCTGAGCCTCAAGAATGTTCTCCAGGGCTGCAGCTGAACCTCCTGCACCCAGGGCCTGGTCCCCTGGTCGATCCCCAGCTGCAGCTCTGGGCCTCACTGGTGAGCTCAACAGACGGCTGCTCTGGGGCTCTGCCAAGGAGGCTGTCAGACTTTCAGCCACGAAGAGATGACACTTCATGCAACCCGCCCTCCCCTCCAGGAGCCTCCTCCAGCTGAGGCGACACCACATGACTGGTAGGGCCATTAGGACTGTCTCAGGGCCTGGGACCTAACTCTCTGGGATTTAGGCCTGGCATCTCTTGAGATGTCAACAGGACTTGGGTTCTCTGTGTCAGGAACAGTCACTCCACTTCTGGATGCAGAACCTTGAGCAATAACGCCTGTCTTTCACAAGTACTCACTGATCCCCACCTAGGGACAACCATCACCCACTTGTCACTTTGTCACTCTGTGGTGGCTTGCTTATCGCTGCTGCTGCCAGCTATCCCACTGGCATTTCAAATACCAGGAGGATCTTGGACACATTTCAGGGAGCTTCCAGACTATGGTAGGCTAGAAAGAAAGGCCTGGAGATCCACCTCCCCAAATCAGCCGATGAGCACCCCATCACAGAGTACCATCCACTACAGTGCCGAAAAGACAAGCCTCATAAGTTGGGCAGCCCTCAAAACACACAGCAGCCTCAATGGACCCAAACATTACCAGTGATCTAGGACACACAGTCACGTTTCACTATGTGCGTATGAGGTCACCGTGCATACGGATTGGAGCTGACCCGGCAGCAACTAACAAGGGCACCTGTGAGCTCTGGTCTGCCCTCCTCAGGGCGGCGCTTGCATTCAAGTATGGAAGAGCGACAAGAGACAGGTCCACAAGTTAGAGAATGGCAGGAGGGGAAAGGGTGGTCAGGGGTTGCTCCTGAGAGCTGACCCAGAGTCAAGCAGGAACAGAACTGCGAGGCGAGCATGCCAGGCGAAAAGAACAGCAAGAGCCAAGAGCTGGGGCCAAAATAGGCCTGAGGCCTTCTAGGAACTCCTGGAAGAGCCCCGTGTCTGGTGCCCAGTGATAACCTAGGCGGGGGAGATTCCAAGAGGAGCTCCCTCTGTGTCTTGAAAACAATCAAGAAGGGGACTGGAGCAGAGGAGGGCCAGCATCGTAGGTGTTTTGTATTGCGCTGGCTTCTGGGCAGCAAACGCGGTAGTAGGGGAGTTGAAATAAGGCCAAGAGGAGCCAGTAGGAGTTCACCCAGGAAAGGAAGAGGGTGCTTGGATGGGGAGCAGTGGAGGCCAGCCTGCACTTGTACGTGGCAGCACCAACCGGCCTTGCTAATGGGTGGGAGAGCGTGAGGGCAAGAACTTACTCCTAGACACTGTGATGGTGACACCTGCCAAATGGGGAGGAGTGGGAGACAACAGGTGGGGCCAGGGGGAACAACCTAACTCCAGGTCGCGCTGGACCTTCCAGAAGCCGACTTCGTGGACAGTCAGGCATTGAGTTTGAAGTTCCCACGAAAGACAGGATCCGGAAACGCCCCAATGCCCAGTGGATGTCGCATGGCTGCTCCTTCCCATCCCTGTAATCCCCACACACACCCCGGCGCAACGTACCCCGGGTACATGCCGCGTCTCCAAAGCCTGGTTAGCCATGCCCGCGCTGAGACACGCTACCTGCACCGCCTGCTTGCGGGCGGTCAGCAGGATCCTGCAGTAGGTGAAGCAGATGGCGCCAGAGGGCAGGAAGAAGGTGACGCCGGACGCCACGAGGACGAAGGGCAGGCTGGCCAGCAGGCGACACTGGCCTGGGGCGGGCGTCCGCACGCGGCCCAGCTCGTGCCAGCCCAGGAGCAGGGGCAGGAAAGAGGCGAACGCGGCGAGGCTCCAGGCGCCCAGGACCAGCGCCAGGGCGCGCGGGGGCGTCATGCGCAGCTTGTAGCGCAGCGGCGAGAGGATGAGCAGGTAGCGGTCCAGACTGATGAGGCAGAGGTTCAGGATAGAGGCACTGCAGCACATCACGTCGAAAGCGGTCCAGAGCAGGCAGAAGCTGCGTGCCAGCACCCAGCGCCCGTACAGCGCGTTCAGCATGGCGGGTGGCATCACCACCAGCCCCACCATCAGGTCGGACGTGAAGAGAGACACCAGGAAGAAGTTGGACGTGTTCCGCAGCGCCGGCTGAGTGCAGATGAGCGCGATGAGCAGCGTGTTAGCCGCCGCGGTCAGCGCGATGACCGCACACAGCGCAGCTGCCACCCAGCCGCTGCCCCCCGGGGTCGACGGCGGTCCCGCTCCCCAATCCGGGCTGCTGCGGTTGGAGGGGCCCGGCTCTGGGACCATGGGTCCGGGGGTGGGAGGTGTGGACGTGAGGTCCGAGAGGGGTCTCTAGGACGCTGTGGAGTGGTGAGGAAGAGCAGGTAAGGAAGAAGTGGCTGGTTAGGGGCGCAGAAACTGGACGGGCGTCCTCGGAGGACAGGGGGTCCCCTGGGGCGCGGAGAGAAGAGAAAGAAGGGTTATTTGGGCTCCCCCAGGCGAGGGGGCGGGGGCAGAGGCACCTGGAGCAGGAACTGAGAAAGTTTGAGGAGGGGGACGCCGATGGGGTGCTGAGAACTCTTGGTGGGAACAGGCACCAAATTAGAAGCCTGGGGACGCGGGATCACCCTTGGAGGTTGGATGGGCGCCCTTGGGTGGGAACAGAGCCGCCTAGAGGGAGCGGGCGGTAAAATAGAGGACGGGCCCGGGAGGTGGGCGCAGGGGTGC